GTAGAATATTGAAGTAATGTACAGTAATGTACTAAAATATTATCGAATAATAAAAACTTTCTATAAATATCTCATATTTTCATTTCTTACTTATAGTGTTTAATTATATTCTAAGTGGTTGTTTTTCTTTAATATGTATTCGTTCGTGCGTCAAATTGACGCGCGTTCGTAGAGATAGGTATACAAGAAATATCCTGGTGTTAAACATGCAATTCTCCTTTTTATTGTTCCCGTTGGAATTGATGTATAAGATCTGATGTTTTTCCTTGATTGTCCTCTAGTGTAGTTTATATCTTTCACTATTTCCCGTAAAAAATGAAGAGAAACGAATATTTATATAAGTATAATTATTGTTAATGTAAATATAATGAAATGTAATTATAACATAATTATAATGTAATTACAAATATAAAATGCAGTATTTTACAAATATAATTAAATACAATAAAACACTGTCAAACATATTCCAAACGCAAAAAGAGTGAACGTGATTATCTTATTTCACGAAATATTCTCATTGTGTCTCATTTACCTGTTGTCATTCAACGCGAATTCGTGCGGGTTGAATGATAATGCCATTTCATTTTTAATTACCTAATTATACGAGGTGCTTAAAGAAATACAGTTCGCTTTCAAAGTTCCCCCCTCGGGATTGCCGTTGCTATTTTAGTTCCCTTTCGCTGGCACTGATTAATAGTACCCGATGGTAGTATAAGCGTTAATGGTTGAATGAATGGAAAACTTTGGAACGGGTTGAAACCAAATGGAAATTTGCTTTGGATGGCTCTTGGAATGACCAAGTTTTCAACAATTAAATTCCGACTTCTTTGTCTCTCTTTCGCGAGAAATTAACGCAGTAGTAGTAACATTTATACCCAGGTATACTGATGCAAACCTGTTAAAATGTATATTACATTTCTAACAGTCAAATGATTTTGTTCACAAAAATAAGTGGAATAACATCAATAAGTGCACAATATGCACAGTATCAATAAATCGATATTTGACTTCATTTTCGAATATCTCACCTCCTACAAGATAAAAGACTGTGTCTCTAAATCGTCATTTTCTTTTGAAAGAAATCAGAAATATCATTTTTGGGCGATTTCTGGTTTCCTTGCGTTTCTAACTCATCTATAAATTATCTTCAATACGACCGTATTTAAACTCATTTACCCAAACTTCAAATGTGTCATTCAAACTTCAAAGAACAATAGACTTGAAACTTTCCCTTCACAAAACGAAACTTGTACGATTCTGCCAATATCAACCTAAGTCAATAGATAAACTTTTCGTCTATAAATTCTACAGTACTCCACTAAATTCTGCTCTAGAGAAAATTATCTTGAAAATGTCTCGATTAACGTAACAGGGAGGATTGATATTTCCGACAAGTAAGAGAATGGTATTTCTGTTTCAGATCGAGCCTGGCAGCACCCGATTACGATGTACCTCGATCGCGTCTTCCAGCTTCCTCGTTACCGTCCCGGCACAACACACCCGTGCCAAAGACACCGACACCTCCACCCCCACCGCAAACGCAGCAAATCTACGACGTTCCAGTTAGCAAGGAGCTTCCTCTGGAGCTGGACTCCGCTTTGGAAGGTCTGCAAAGGCTGCAGAGCGAGGCATCTGCGGCGATAGCCAGGTTACTCGGCTTCGTTAGCTCTGGATGGAGAACGCCTCAACGATTAGATGCTACACTGATGGATCTTAGGCTCGCTGCTCTTAGGCTTAGAACGTCCTTGCATGATTTGGCTGAATTTGCTGAAGGTAACTTCTTATGTAACTACTCATTAACTATCAGTTACTTTTAACCCACAACTTATTTAGTACTGTAACTTTAATCTACTTGTATAATATTTCATCCATATGGTTACTTCAGCTTGTTATGCAACATTTGACCTACAGTTACTTTATTACTTAAGTTTCTTGTACAACAGTTAATCCACATCATTACTTTAACTAGTTATGCAACACTTGACCTACAGTTACTTTATTCCTTCAGCTACTTGTTCAACAGTTAATCCACATCATTACTTTAACTAGTTATTGCAACATTTGACCCACAGTTACTATTTTTTACTTCAGCTACTTATCCAACAGTTAATTCATATAATTACTTTAACTACTTATACAATATTTGACCTACAATTACTATTTATTACTTCAGTTACTTATTCAACAGTTAATTCATATAATTACTTTAACTACTTATACAATATTTGACCTACAGTTACTATTTATTACTTCAGCTACTTGTACAACATTTAATCCACATTATTACTTAAGCTACTTATACAATACTTGACCCACTTATCTCATGTCATTCAAAAAAATATTAAAAATGTATCAGTAAAAGTTTGATAATAAAAGTTCTATACTTACATTGCTATCGTCTCATAAATACACTCGAATTTGGATCACATTTCTCAGCAAGTAATCATACTATTCGAACGATCTCCCCAATGGTGAAAACAATTTTTTTCATCTATATCATGATTTTCACTTATATCGTGTACATGACTTTCACTTATATCGTGTAGCGGTGATTTTCGCTTATATCGAAACTATACCATAAATTGTCTGAACAGTCCACAGGCAAAAGATTTACCTTTAATAAGACCAATTAAAGACAATCCATCGCTCCTAATTCTCCATCGACCGCCGTATACGCACCGAAACGCAAAGAACCTCTTCGAACACTCGAATTATTTGCACGAGGGTGAAGTGGCCCATATGCGAAGTGCCCCTCGACGAAGAATAACTAGTCGGCTTCGAATTAACGAAGCAGCGCTAGAAAGGATGCGGTTGAAGGAACCTTCGATGATTTTTATGTTGCACAGGAACATTGGGGAACGCGGGCAAGGCACCGGACAAGGGTCTAGCCACGAAATTACGACCCCTGGTTAAAGCTCTACGCGATTCCGACAAACTCGTACAGGAAGCCGCCACCGAATTGGACGCGATGGAATGGGACGCAGAGAAACTCTGTCGCGGTGGTGGCGACACTCTGACACCTACTAACGGGCCACCTTCCACCATTTTATCGACGGTACAACCGGATCCACTAGATCAGCTGATTGCGTGCGCACGAGCACTCACGGAAGACGTTCGCCAAGTTGCTAGTTTTATTCAGGTAAACTGAATGAGGACTTAATAGCTGGTTGCGGACAAAATAAAAACTACATGTACAGGGTGTCTCATTTGACCCAATCTCCCCATATCTTGAATATCTTGCTTATTTTTTTATGATAAAATGACCTTGAAATCTCAGGAAAAATGACCTTGAAAAAATTTCTTGACCACCATAATATTTGCCTGTTTGAACAAAATAATGTTTTCCTTTGACATTTTCTTTTATAATGATGTACAATGATTATATAAATTATTATATAAAAATAAACAAGATGAATTAGGTGAAACACCCTGTATATTCTTAAATCGTTTCAAATACAGTAAAGTTGAAAGAAAGGTTGAGAAACAGTGATGTATAACTAATTTATAAAACTTGACTGTACAGGGTAACTCGACGCTGCTCTTCAAACGATCGTCGATCATCTCGACCGGTAGCAGCAATAACAGCGGTGCCGGCGAGGATTACGATTACGTAAATTTAGACTCAAGGGAAGTGGTCGCGAAACAACGGGAAGAAGTGAGAGCATCATTGCCACAGGAACTCCGTAGTAATTACGATCTCCTTGTATCCGAGTCGGACAATGCAACGATTCAAATGCCACCTACAACACCGACACCCATGGATCCTAACGACAAACAATTGCTGGCTTTCTATGCCGCCCAGGTGATCACGCATGGCAACCACCTGACTCATGCCATTGACGCCTTCATGCAAACGGTCGAACACAACCAACCACCCAAGGCGAGTACCGCAAACTTGGAATCTAACTGCCTATTATACTACGGTTAAACGGGTACAGTGTACTGCAAAATGATAAGGCTGTTCTTGAGACGATGTTCTCACACATCATGTGTCATAGGATAATACACTTGTGGTATACTGTGGAGTAGAATTGCCAACTGGAGTGTCAGCGAAATTTCTGTAGTTCTACTGTAGATTTATTGGAAATTTAGTACTGGTATATTTAATGAAAATTTAGTACTAATAGATTTATTGGAAATTTAATGTTAGTAGATTTTACTGGAAGTGCTGCTAAATTTTATTGAAAATTTAGATAATTTGTAAAAGACAGACAAATTGTATTTATTGTAATATTAAGTAGGTTGTAACACAGAGTAGCTTTTAAGTTAAGTATGTATTTCAACTCATTTGAAAAATATGTAATTTATCAGGATTTAAATAACTAAATCACATGAAAACGTTTATTGTACATATTAGAAAACAAAATTGTGTAGAATTGTAATTATGACACTTTCAGAAGCATATGTTTATGACAATGAGACATAGTGTGAACTATTACAAGATACGTAATGAAAGAAAATAACAGATGCGCACTCTAGCGGCCAATTAGGGTAACATGTACATTGCCTTACCACAAAAGAAAGCATTATGCTAAATTTATTTAACTGTACACAATTAAAATCTCTTACTACATCTTTACACACTGATAGCTTGTACTTGCATCATTTTTAATCACTTAAAAATTTCTGTTGTTTATATTTTTAATTAAAATTTGTACGGTTGTCACGTGACTATTCCAAGCTAGTCAAAAATTCATTATAATATCCACTGCACGATTACTACATTAATTACCAAACAATTAACAAAAATATTTTCTGTAAACAGGTGTTTCTGGCTCACGGAAAATTCGTGGTGTTAAGCGCTCACAGGCTGGTGCACATCGGTGACACGGTACACAGAAACGTGACAAGGAACGATGTGAGAACACGCGTGTTGCAATGTGCGAACGCATTGAACGAAGCTTTAGCACAAACCGTGTCGAAGACAAAACAGGCAGCTCAATTCTTTCCCAGCGTATCCGCGGTTCAAGAGATGGTCGACAGCGTGGTGGACGTCTCACATCTGGCCAAGGATCTGAAGGTCGCAATGATTCACGCCGCGCAACAACCATGAGCGCTCAAACATCAGATCCTCATCTTAAATACGGAAGAAGCTCGGCGATGCGTTAGCTGAGAACAATTTGCCATTATTCTTGGGAGAGACTATGTGCGCACGAAACCCGCCGCTCCTTCAAGTTCCTTGGATTGGTTGGCAATCCTAATAATGATCAAACAGTTTCTGCCTATAGAAGCATTGCGAAAATTATCAAAAGAATCACGAGTAAAATGCTACAGTCTATATCGTAGATGTGTATTTACTGCCGATTTGATAGAAACGAGCAGCTAACTGTTAATGTTCGACATCTTTAATCGTCGAGTCCAAAATGTTTAAAGACGAGAAAGGATCAATGAGAATTGTCGTTCATTTGTAGATCAATTTGGGTGTATGGGCTAGGTGACTCAGATTCGAATAGAACGTAGAAATTTAAACTTCTGATCATGTAATCGATGAAAAAGCGAAATTGGATCACGGGAATTGTTCTGACTTCCTTTTTCGTTCGACCAAAACTAGACCCTTCCCTCTTTATCACAATAAAGAGCTCTCGAGGCCTATCGTTACTTAGAGATACACAACTGCCAAAGCCACAGGTACATAGAACGTAAGGGAACCTCTTTCGAGACAAGCATTTTTGTAATGTACTCGAGAATATAGAGAACGTAGACTTTTATAGAGAATATGTAATCGTGTCGTTCGTTAGCTGAAGATGTGGAGCAAATTAAACGACTAAGATAATAGCGCGTATAGAACGTGTTCGAAACGATTCTCGGGATCGTCGATTAACAGGAGACTCGTTTCGAACGTGATGCGGCATTGTCGTTACCAGCGTGTTAATTATTATCATAGATGTGTACTGCGGGAAAACGTTTTCGTTTAGAAACATGTTCACGCGTTACTGTGAAATGAGGATATTGGTTGAACGTTATATCGTTAAAAAAGACGCAAACAAGTAGAAAAAAGTACGAAAGACCACAACAATTACCAGAAAAGAGCCACAAATGCAATATGGAATTTTCTACAATTAAGCAGCGAGGTTTATTATATTTATACAAAAAAATTTCATTGTGAACAACGCAAAATCTGTCTTTTCGAAGGCCAATTTTAAGCGAATTTTGTACAACTTTATTAACGAGGCACGACTTTTTCGTGCTCGAGGCCATTTTACGGCTCTTCCATGATTATTCAAACGATCGTAAACGCACAGCGAAGACTTACAAAAAGAACCATTAAATTTGTAGATGTTTACAATCATTTGGATCATACGATTCGATTGCAATCGAACTCCCCTTACAGGAGTAACGAAAACAATAACTTGAAAACGATACGCCTTATACACGGTCACTTTATCAATTAACATTGGATCAAGGCTCCTGCTGGTTATAAAACTTTCATCGAATCGTTCTTTATCGTAGAAGCTAGTTATTGGCTTAAAATATACTTTTATAATTGGCAGGACTTTATTGAGGAAAAATGTTCGCAGAAAATATAGTGAAATTCTTTTCGTTTCACTGTATCTTCCAAACCGCTTAATTAGGCAAATGATTTTCTTCGACTGTGAAACTAATCTACCTTAACATTTGAGAGATAATCGACGTACATTTTTAACGCAATTTCGAAGTCGATATATCTTTCAAAGTATTTACTTTTCGCCTTCAAAGACTTTTGTCTCGTTCTTTTTCTTTGAATCGGCGAAAATCATTGAAATGAAGAGGTACAATATCGAGGAATGTTTCAGCCGATCGTTCGCATTTTAGAGCATTTGCTACGATATAGCTACGTGTAGTTTATTTTTTAGAAACCATATAACCGAGCATATCGCGTGAACACTCGTTTATGGAACTTGTATTATAATTTATTGGCGAAGTATATTTGTAAGATAAAATACATTTTTCAGGCAGTTAGAGTTACTGTATATTTAGAATTTATACATAGTCGATACCAATAGGTGCTTATCACATTCTCGTTGAATCTTATTCCGATAATCGTGGTGTGCTATTAGATGAACTATTTCTTTTAATATATATATATATATTTTTAAAGAACGCATAAATTATGCATTATCTTTATTACTTTGAGTAATTTCAATTGATTGTACTTGGTACCTGGAATTTCTTCTTACTGAATTACCTTAGAATCAAATAACCGTGAAAAGATTTTGTTACTAGCGAAGACTTCCAGTCGGACTTTTAGTTCAACGATTTATTGTTAATTATTATTGTGTTAAATTTTAAATACCTATCATTGTAATTAGTAATCTTAAATTGTATCGAGAAATCAATTAATTGACGCCTAAGTTTTGATCGGTGTATCCTACGAACTGAATCAATTATGTTATTTTAAAGACATTTAATGTGTACATAAGTATATTTATATATATATACATACATATGTATATTACAATTATTCCTATTATGATGTATACACAATACAATAATGTACCAACGCAGCAGTTACACAAAAATGTTTGAAATTGTGCAATTGTCAAGTTTTAATTTTTAAGCATCGAATTATACTCAAGGAAATATACAAAGTATTTAGAGCTAGAAGAAATTAGAATTGTTTTACATAAAGTAGATGCAGACGTTTTTCAAAAAGGTGACATTTGATTCGCTTGGTAAAATCTGGATAATAATTTTGTATACTGGCGCGTTACTTGTATATTATAATTTCAATGGTTCAATAAAGATTAATTGAATATGCATACAGGTAAACAATTAAAACATATCCTTTCTTCAGTTTAGTTTCTTTATTATATTAAGATTCATGGGTCATAAATAACATGATATATCAATTAACTACACGCAAATACATTCATTAGAAACATTTTAACTCAATTTATGATGAAGTACATACAATAGTTTAGACGTCTGTTGTCTACTCCTTTCATAATTATTAACAAATACACCTCTTCGTAGTAGTACATATAAAACATTTCATATGTCTTAAGTAAGGCTCGAATGAACACAAATACTGTAGTATAGAGTAATCCAAAATTAGTTAACACAGGTTGTGGTTTGCTAATCATGTCAAGACTGTCAGTAAAGTATTTTTCTAAATACAATCATAAAAGAACAATTTTTTCTATATTTAATGAATAAATCCAAATAAATGGGCTACATTATATTTATATACTTAAGATATTCTTAACTTAAATCACTTAACTGTCTCCTTAAAAAATTGTATTTACTGACATTCTTGACTAGTAGACCACAATTTGCATAAGAAGAATGGATATGCAGTGAAGGAACCCTCATAACAGGCCAGAGCCAATTTTGGATCACACTGTTTAAGTATTTGCGAAGTTGTTGCAATAGTAAAATGTACACATCAAATATACAAGCTGTAATGCTTGATTTACAATATTTCCGTTCTTTTCATACAGATTCATTTATGAAAAATACCCATGTGTGACAAATTTAGTTCTAAGAAGTATGAAACTAATAATGCAAGAAATCAATTGGAACCTAATTATAAATAAATGTTCAAAGCTGACTATGAACGATCGCAGCATCTGCCAGTATGTGTGTGCGTATTGCCATCCTTGTTAGCTTTCTCTTTTGCTGCATTTTTTTCCATATGGAAACTGCTAAGATCCCGTTTCATAGCATATGCATCTTCTCCATCGGCATAATATTTAGGTTCAACTTCTGACACTTCAAATTGTAAGCTGCTTGTATATAGATTTAAAGCTGCTCGGTTACTTCTACGAACATGTAGGGAAACATATTTTGCTCCAAAACATTCAACCATTGCTCTAGAGGCCTGATTCATCAGTTTTTGTGCAATACCAAGTCTTCTATGAGATCTTTTTACTGCCAAACTAGTAATGTGTCCATGTGGATTATCCTCACAGTCCTCTTCCATTTTAGCAAGGACATATCCTACTATCCTGCCTTTTTCATCCTCGGCTACATAACTCAATTGTGGCCAAGAAAGTGCATGATACAAATAATATTTCATTTGATAATTTTCAGGTAAACATTGTAAGTTACAATGTTGTATATTTAACAAATCATCTGTTGTTGCACAGCGTATATTTATAGACATTTTCGCAAGTTAAAATATTATAGATATACAAATGAAAGACAAATTTACTTTGGTCGGTTCTTTCCTTAGAAGACTCCTTGAATATTGCCTAGTAAGTTATCGGTTCGAATTAACTGGGCCTTAGTCCCTGCGAATTTTTTTGATACGTGATCTACCGTTCTTTAAATCATTGACAGACGAGGATTCACTCATTCCACCCAATAATTCTCGAACGAATCTGAACCGTGAAAGGAAAAATTTCCAAACTAAATACCAACCTGCGAAAAAACACAAACATGTCTATGAAGATAAACGATTATATGTTAAATAAACAACTTAAATTAGAAAAATTATAGCGACCACAAAAATTATTTCTATGTGGTTCTAAAATATTCTTGTATTTTTAACAAAACTACTCAATCGAAATACACTATACAGTATTCCTACCACGGTATAGACAAAATACAATGGAGTACAAACAGCGAATTTTTCGTTGACAGTATACAATATCAAAAAAATAGAAAACAAGAAACGTCATAAATATTTACAGCCGAGAATAGTCGTCGATAATGCGCATACACGTGATGATGGAGGTTAAGTATTATAGTCAAGCTCTCCTACTATACCTTCGACTTCGAAACTATATGACTATTCGACAGCTCGGGTAACAAGGTTTCGAAACTCTCTGCATACCGCGCAGCAATAACGGAACGTTACTATCTGTCGTTCTTACCCAGCAGCACCAGGCCAAATACTATGAGTAGACTCGATATCACGGAGAAGGCTGCTAGGACGATTTCCTGCATTATTAAATCCGTACCTCGACTATGAATATATAACGAACTTCCTAGAATGACACACACGGGAATAGTGTCATAACCTCTTTCTGTTTCTTACTTTCCTGGCAAGACAATTAAATTCACCAAATATAGAAACACAAACGACGAATTTAGCACAACGTCGAAACGTAAATTCGCCTACGTTTTTTCTGTCATCGATAATACGCCATTTTGAATTCGTAACGGAGTTGTGCGCGTATAGGTTATAAATTTTCCCCCCTCCAATCAAATAAATGAATATCTTGTCATCGCTTAGCGAAATATAATCTTTCAAGGATATATTCCGTAACTTACCGAAGTCCAATGATTCGTACTTCGTTCACTCATCTGCATTATTGACACGGAAACTAAGAAACTTTCGAAACAGAGTCAGAACTTTTGAATACCAATAATTAAAGCCGACAGGAAATAGTCACAAGTTGCGATACATGTGCGCAATCGCATCATTTCCGGAAGAACCTACTGTAGCGCTTTTATTCAAAATTTACAAAAAATTCATAACACCTAAACTTTTTACAACTTAAAAACAGGATAAGGTATAAGCTATTTAAAATATTAAATGTTTTGTGCTTAAAGTAATACTTTATTATTATTATGTTGAAAGTACATTAATCAATAAAATATATCAAATGTTCGTGTTACACAATTTAATAGGTACAATTACATTTGCTGCAGTAACGTGAGATGTATATGTACATTTAATCCTCCTCTTCATCGAGTTCTTCTAAGTGATCCAATTTGAGCTGTATCGATCGATCCAGTTTTATTTGAGGTTTTTCTTTTTTGCTTTTCTTCTTTTGCTTCTGACCAACAACATATTCTGGCATAATAATTTTGCTACTCCTAAATATTGGTTTATCTTCGCTATCAACTATGACTGTTGCATTATTTATATCTTCTGCTTCATTTTCAGGTTTTTTGAATTGAATATCTGAAGCTGTTTTAGTCTTTCTGGACTTAAATATTATTTTAGATTCATTGCTTTCAACTGAATTAGATTCTTCTACATCCATTTCCTCCTCACTTTTGTTTGTCAGTCTTCTAGTTTTTAATTCCTTCAAGAAGGATAATGCAGCTCTCGTGTTGCTTTGTTCTGTCATATCGTCATTAGACACATCATCTAAACTGTATTTCTTCCATTTATGAGGATTTTTATGATAATCCGGTACATTTCTGTTACTGGCACGTGGTGCTGGACCTTCTGGCCGCTTGAAAATACTTTCCTTACCACGAAACCTCTTCATTTCACTTTTACGTTTTTGACCAGCTCTTGGTGCTTGAGATTTCTTATATTCATCAATATCTATATTCACCTTTGATGCCTCCACTATCATTTTATTCTTATTACATTCTTGTTCTGCATCTGACAGTTTGTCAAACAACAATTTCTGTCTGTTTGCAAACGCAGTATTACCACCATGTAAAACAAAGTCTCCAGACATATGCATCTTTCTCATCATTAACAATACTTTCTTTCTATTATTTAGAAATTATTTGAAATATTTTTACAAGTAGAAATGTTAAAACATGCAGAACATTATTAGCATCAACACAACATATAACTTGAATATTATAGGTTAGATAATTTAACAACTCTTGAACAAATTATCAAAATTTCGCAAATTTTGATGTTATTTATTGTCACTTTATTCAATTTCAACGTTTAAACATTTAACAAGTATGAAGTTGTTATTTGTGTTATATTACGTTTTATATAAGTCGCCATTTTCTCTCGAAAATGGCTATCGAGTGTTATCGAACTTGAGATTGTTTGATGTAGGGTCATAGACTTATGTATAAGAGACTGCGCGATCTTAGAACTTTAGTGGTAACTTTTTTTGAATTGTTACTAACTTCGCGTTTTTTAATACGTTATAAGATAAATAATTTTTGTATTAATTTAATTCATATTCATGTTAATTAAGGCAATAAAAACAATATTAATTGGCATTTAAAAAAAAAATTGGAACAGGTGGCGCCATCTTTCCGGCGAACAGGGTGAACCAGTGTCGGGCAGTCGTGGTGAACTACACACTTTTGAAACAGGTGTTTCATTAGTTCGGTTATTGGACCGCAAGATGGCGTCGCGAGTGACATTTCCGGTTCAAATCAATTAATATTGATTTTATTAGTTTAAGTGACTATAATATGAATCGAATTACATTTCAGCGCAAAAGTAATTAACGTTCAAATTACTTTACTAATTTAATACTAATTTTTTATTATTATTGGGCTAATTTTAATTACCATACGGTTTTAGGTTTTATGTGTCGCCACCTAGCGGTAGAAGGCGGGAACTAATGAAACTGCTGTTTCAAAAGTGTGTAGTTCAGCGTGTTTGTTGGAGAGATGGCGCTGGGTGTTCAATTTTATAAAAAAATCAATTTTTTATGGATTTTATTGATTATTATGTGTTATGTATTATTACTACATATTTATTATACATTAATAATATTGATTTTAATTTTACAAACATTAAAAAAATGAAAAAGTGCTTTTTTTACAAAAAAATGTATAATTTGTTTCTATTGATAGTTCGACCACTGACCACTAGATTGCGATAGCAGTATTTTTGCATAATTTGTGTCTGCATTTTAAAATACTTTCAAGCGTTCAAATTAATTACTCCACAATAAATTACTGTATTATATATCGCTATTATAAATTAAATGACTATAACATTTTTATTAAAAACGTAAATTTGTACAGCAGAACTTGAACGTTTAAGTACAGTAAAGTGTCAATTCATACAAAAATGTACAAATAAAATAATTAACGTTTCCAAAATAATTTTTCCGATTAATAAATTGATAAACTTAAGGACTCACGAAATATTTAATAATTTCACAAAATAGCAAAGCTGTAAACCTCACAGGTTTCTTTTTTAGTAATTGCAAAAGGTTACCTCATTTTTCGATTATCACAGCAGGAAATCCTCTTAATCTATTAAATTAGTTAGTTAGTTTATTCACAAAGGCGCAACGTTTTCTCTCTTTATTACATAATTCAAATAGTCATGTTACGTTACAATTAGTTAAAAATAGAAACTCCAGGAGAAGTATTCATGTTATTGTAGGAGCAGTTCAATTATAAAAAACCGGTAATTTACACTTATTTAACGGACGAATAAATTAACAGAACGTATAATATTCAGACAAATACCTCCTTGAACATAGCAATGCTATAAGTATTTTCCGTAGAATATTTAAGTATTCATCACCAAACACGTGTTCCTCACAATTTTATTTAATTTAATTTTATTCTGTATTTAAAATAATAATTACATAAATTATGTAGGTAATATTTTTTCTTTGCAAAACAATATTTTGAAATTGCTATTTTATTCAGAACATGTAAGATTGTCAACTAACTCTAAATGAAAATTGTTGCAGTTTTGCATTTTGTATTTTCTTCAAAAAATAATTGTAGTAAGCACTCAATAAATTATAACTTGTAAAACGAATATCTATCTTTACCACACATATCCAATAAATACCAAATGCATTCCGAGAACTCAATTACATAAAGACAGGACAAAAGTAAATCCGCAAGAAAATCCTCTTACCCTTTCCTCATTCCACTTCCGTTTTCAGGGGCGGATAGAGTCAACATAACCGTTCACCCTCCATGAACCATAAAATTACAAAACTAATTTGTATTTTGTTAAATAAAACCTCTTTGAAACTTCTCTAAATTTTATAAAAATATACTTATATGATATATTTGCAATTATTGTATGATATCAATATATATACATTTACTTTTGTTGTACAATATTGACATGTGCACTTGCTATATCACATATCACATATACACTTGACATATCACATGCACTTATATAATATACTTGCTTTTGTCATATAATATCAACATATATACATTTACTTTTGTTATACAATAATGACATGGACACTTACCATATTACATATCACATATACTTATATAATATACTTGCTTTTATCATATAATATAAAAAAATATACATTTACTTTTATTATACAATATTGACGTATATACATTTGCTTTTATCAAACAATATTGTATAAATTTTAATACATTAAAATAAATTTAAATAGAACTTAACACTAATCTGATGCTCGTCTATCTTTTGTAATAAAACACCGTAATTGTTCCAATCTTCTAACATGAATAAATAATTCATGTTCACTTACTGCTACATGTGAAGCACACAAAGTAGACGTATTTTACAATTCAAATTGATGTACGACGTTAAACTATTAAATCACGTGCACATACAATTAATTATTGGAGTTGTAAACGTCAGAGGAATGTAAAAATACAAATTCCAGATAAAAATATATAAATCCAAAATGGAGATGTTTAAATGGCGTATAAATTCAAGATAAAAATATATAAATTCAAAATAAAAATGCATAAATTCAAGATAAAAATGTATAAATTCAAGATAAAAATGCATAAATTCAAGATAAAAATGTATAGATTCAACGTAGAGATACATGAATGATGTACAAATTCAAGATAAAAGTATACAAATTTAAAATAGAGATATACGTATAAATGATGCATAAATTCAACATAAAGATTGACTTATAACTTCAAGATAAAAGCAAAGAATAGATGTAACAAGAGAAACTAGACAAGGAAACCTTCCTCCAAGAGACAGAGGAACAATTTAAATGCCCGAATAAAAAGAATCGGGGGTGCGCATGTGCACAGTGCAGAAGTATGGCGGTCGAAAAAGAATAGTTTAAACCTGCATATTCACCAGTGATTTATTTCTAATAAATATTTTGTCATATCTCTGTAACACATTCATCCGTAATTTCTTCTGATATATAGTTTTTCATTTTCTTACAAGTTATTTGTAATAATCATTTCCGTAATACATATTCTTCAAATATATTTTGTAGAGCAATCATTTTGGTATATTCTTTTCTTTTCAACTTTTCAACGCTGTAAAATCGATAAAAATACCTCGAAAGACAATATTAGTAATATACAGAAAATTTATTACAAATATATTCCAAATTATTAGGGATTGACATGAAAGTAGTTTTGCTCGATTTAAATTTCACGCTCGTTTGTACGACCAATTTAAAGGGACCGTGTTCGACAGATCAAAGGTGCCGACAGAGAGTGCCTAGTTTACTCTGTGAGAAAAAAAAATAAATTGAATATAGAAATATACATATAAATAATATATAAATCCAAGATAAAAATGTATAAATTTAAGATAGAAATTTAATAACTGCTGTAGTATTACATAATCCGATCAGAAAAGTATCTTTGAAAAATAGCAAAACACCCCTAATTGAAGTGTTTCATCCACCCCTGTTTCAATATCACTCCAGAGATATTGTGGGGGCAGCCACCCCAGGATTACATTTCGTACAACGGTAATTACTCGAATCGATATTCCGAAAGGAACGGTGTATAATCCCGTACAGATATTTCCCTCGGAATCGGTTCGTGATCGTGATATGCATTTATTAACGAACGTCATCCGAACACCATAATTCCTTCGAAGTGGACAGTTAACACGCATTCAATGTGCGATTTTTTCTAACAGTCGATGATCTTATTGGTCAGCAGCCAGGCAGGCCTCCGGTACGTGATATTGTGGCAATCTTATTTGAATTGTTAATACGCGATGAAAAAATCGAGACACGCCAATGGGTGTGCACAATTCACGTGATACTGAACCGATAATTATTGCCGGAGTACGATCTCCACCTGTTCCTTATTATGCACTGTTTACAAGTATTTTTCATATCGTTAATTCGCATTTTTTCATCGTCGTCTTCCGTATATTAACACCGGAGCAAAAAAACCCGTTAAAATCGCGGAATTTTACGCCATTGTCGGGTATCGGCGTGTGGGAAATCGGTAATTTTGCGGTTAGGTTCGCAATTTTAAAATTAGAAGGAATTGGGGTTTTGGGTTATTCGATCTGGGGAAGTTCTAGGATTTAGGGAGTTTGAGTTTTGGAATTTTAGGAGTACGGGAGTTTGGAATTTCTTGGGAGCTGCGGATTTGGGTTTTGGTATTTAGAGAGTTTGGGGTTTTGCAAATTAGGGGGCGTGGAATTCTGGAATTTAGGGAATTTGGGGGATGTGGAATTTTGGAATGTAGGGAGTTTGGGTTTTTGGAATTTTGGGAGTGTGGAATTTTGGAATTTAGGGAATTTGGAACTTTGGAATTTAGAGGGTGTGGAATTTTGGAATTTAGGAAATTTGGGGTTTTGGAATTTAGGGGGTATGGAATTTTGGGAATTTGGGGATGTGGAATTTTGGAATTTAGGAAATTTGAGGTTTTGGAATTTAGGGGGTGTGGAATTTTGGAATTTAGGGAATTCGGGGTTTTGGAATTTTGGAATTTAGGGAATTAGGGGCTTTGGAATTTTTGAATGTAGGGAGTTTGGGGTTTTGGAATTTTGAGAGTGTGGAATTTTGGAATTTAGGGAATTTGGGGTTTTGGAACTTACGGGGTGTGGAATTTTGGAATTTAGGGAATTTAGAATTCTGAACTGTGGGAACTTTTTGACTTCAGAATTTTTGAATATCTATATTTAGATATTTTGATTATCAATATTTTGAATATTTGAATTCGGGAACTTGAGAATTGGTGAATTTCAAAACATTAAAATTTGAGTCCTACAATCTAAAAATTGTGAATATACAACTAAACCTTACAAGAACTAATAAAAAAACTAGTACATAAGCATTAGAATAAATCGATTTGCAAACATCACCAGAATGTGATCTAGAAAATTGACCAGACACACCT